CATAGGAGACTTCACTGCTGCACAGCTCAATCAGCGTGTTTTGAGTGGCGCTTCTTCGCTTGCCTTTCTGGATGCGGCTCCTCTCAGCCACAGTTAGTTGTTCGTCATTGACGTCCAATATCTGTTGCGAGTCGGCCTCTAAGATCCGGATGATTCGCGTATTCTCCTTGCCGAGGGCGCTGTCAAATTCCGTAATAAGGCGGAGCACGGTGATCGCAAAAGCGCGAACCCTCCTCGATTGCGAGCAAAGGAAGAATAAGCCGTGAGACTCCACCTCCTCGACCTGGGCGAGAACGCTGGAAAGGTCCAATTGCAGAGCTCTGCTCCCAGTACCAGACTTATCGCCAGAGTCCGCCGCTGCATCTTTAGTCTTCTGCTTGATCTCCTCGATCCAGATCCTCAGCAACTCGACATACAATCTCAATGTAGATTCGATGTGGCCGGGCCCAAGCATGCCTTCGTCTGACATGGTGGAATATCTCGCGTCAAAATTGAATATAAACCTTGCGAAACCCATCGTCACCTGCTGGGCATGAGATTGCCGCGCAATTGCTTTCAGAGACTCGGCAGATGAGGACGCTATGTTTGTTTGAACATGAGCAGTGCCAGTACAAAGCAGATTGATAAGAGAATTGAATGGTATACGATCGGATAAACAGCGAGGCAGGGCTTGGACCGCGACGTGAAGAAGATCGTAGAAGCCTTGTCTCTGATCCAGAATGTTAGGATGATCATCCCGTCTTCCAAAACTGAAGGCCTCCGCAATCGGGGTCTTGGGAGTTGTCCCGCCGAATTTCTCATCCAGCGCTGCCTGTCCTCCGAAAGTGTTGTCGCATAACAGAGTTATCTTGCCAAGGATGTCACAGAACCGGAAATAATAGTCTCTGACATTCTCATTCAGTCTTGCTGTGTTTACAGGCCGTGATACTGCATCTCCCTTATTCCCTCGGGCATTTGGAAGCCGGGGGTCAGCCAGGAACTGAGGACGGTGGAGATAGGTTGGAGAGGACATGTCGGTGAATGGGTTGGGGATCGAACCGGTGGGCACGGGAGGGCAAAGCTGATCAGAATTCTCGATGTCTGTCATGATGGCGAGGAAGGACCTGATCCCAATCACCATCTTTTCCGGCTCCATTTGTTCGATCTTTAGCTCTTTCCCGGAGAGAAAAAGATCCGAGCTGATCATTTGAAAGATGATGCTTCTGAAACAGACGTCGGGATGCTTAAACCCAATCATCCGTATTAGTTGGATAAGAGGTTCTGCAACGGCCGGTTCTGTACTCAGATATGTCCTTTTGCCCGGCGGAAGCGCGATTTTCGACACTTCGTCGACTTTACGCAGTGTAGCTGTGGGCGATTCTGAATACCGGAAGAAGTAGGTCCACAGCAAGCGACACATTGCCTGTAGGGCCGGCCCTCTCGTTGGCCGGTCTTTTAATCTTGGTGGGAGCGACTGGACCAGTGAAAGCCACTGTGAGGAGAAGTTTTCCTTCGTCGACACGCACAAGAGCAGCACGTGGAGGGGAAAAGCCACAGTCCAATGACGAGGCTTGGTTAGCATCTGTGACAGACGGGACTGGACCAGCTCTATAAAGTCTTTCCACTTGGGCAACGTCAAGTCAGAGTTGGGACTTGCAGCCACAGGCAGGAGTAACTTTTCGAAGATATAACAATATGCCTGTTTGACCCGTTGCCCATGAGAATTACCGAACAATCGGGCCAGTGAGCGTAAAAATTCGCAAGAGCGAGCCCATGAGTCGGGCTGTGTCTTAATCCGAATATGCCTCATCCCTAAGATTAAGAGTTCGGCTTTGGCGTCACCATCTCTGGAAGGCCCACGAAGTGTTTCATCCTTCTGGATTTTTTCAAGCTCTGCCAAAAACCGAGCTGTGACGCTGGTGAAGTTGTTTTCGCTCATGATCCCTAGCACTTGGGAGTAAATCCTCCAGTTCGCCATGCGAAGAGGCGAAGCTGAGATCTGTTCGGGGTCTACTGTTTTGAGTTGACCGAAGACTATATCCTCTAAGCGGTCCGCCATGTCCAATGTGATCGAAGCAAGACTGCTCTGGTTGAATATCTCGATCAAAACCCTGCAAACCAGGTAAACGGACACCGTCGCACGCCGCTCCGCCAAGATGACATCGTCGTGCCGGGAGTAGAGTGTAGTCGCAGGAGACGCCGAGTCAGTCTGAGAAGCCGATTCTGCGATGATCTGGGGTGGCTCAGTGTTGCGGCGTATCAGGGACCCATTTTCAGATGTAGTCTTCTGACCAGCGGCCTGTTTGGCCACAATAGCAGCATCGCCTTTGGCCTTTCGCCATAGCATGATCGTATCAATCAGAGGCTTCGGTTTCTCTCGCGCGATATGACCCAAAGCAGAGATCAATTGATCAAAGTTTGAATCGACGCCCGGTCCGCATACCTCTTCAACTGGCGCTTCTGACTCACCCAGCTTCATTATAGCCTGGTTGATCTTGTTGTCCGCTTGACCTACAAACTAGGACCACTGTCAGCAGTCGGGTTACGCTCGGCAAAAAAAAAAAGGTATACACTTACGGAATTGAAGAGATGGTGCAAAGCGTATTCCCCAACCGTCTTCGACTCTGCTCCAAAATGGTGCCTCGAGTGCGAACGGCTATGGGATCGCTCCTGCCACGGCTTTCCGTTGGAGTTCATTCTCCTGTGAGCTGTACTCGCCTGGGTCCCATCAGCGACATCATCCGTATCTCTATCCTCTATGGTGCTTAGTGTGCCCTGCAGACTGTGCACCGCTCCATTGGCCCCTTGGCCCTGAAAGCCCGAGGGTCCCTCGTTCTGCTCCATTCGTACAGCGCCTGTGCCTTCTGGGTCGGGGGCGCCACCGCGGCCGAGCGAAGCGATCAATTCGGGGCTGAGCGGGCTTGTAGAGGTTGTAGAGGCAGCGAAACTGGGATTTCGGGAGTGTTGGATTCCATGGACAATCGAGGTATTTCGATGATGACCGTAAGAGTTGGATGGTCTCCTCTCCAAACCGACATCGTACCCAAGACCAGACCTCCCAGCGCTTGGTTCGGGGCTTTTGGAATGGGAGTTGCCGCGGCGAGAGTGTTGAGGTTGTGAGGATGAAGGGGTTAAGGCGGATAGGTCGGCACCTCCTCTGACCGTGGAAGTTTCCCGACTGTGCACGGTGGACGATGGCGTACTTCTCGTGACAAGGCGTTCTGGTGGAGTTGAAAAGCTATGGTGCGACACAGGGCTCGAATCGTCAGGGATGAGGGGCAATGGCGTTGGCTGGATGGGACCAGCCTTGATCGACGGATGTGAAGCCACTACCACGAACAACAAGTTAGACGCGCGATTATTCAATCACTCAGATCCATTAGAAGCGATAGATAGCAGGATTAAGACCATCATCACGATGAGAATCCGTTAGGTCCGACCGAGCGATAGAAGACGGAGTCACGTACTGCTGCTGTCCGACGTCTGTCCCGGTTTCAAACGCCACTCATTGCCTGCTAGTGCTCTCTTCAGTTGGAGCGAAAGAACCAGGGTGCACTTGCAAACAGTGCATGGTTATCTTCCGCACATTAAATTGGAGGTGAAATTCGATGAATATGGTGGTTGTCTGGGATTGAGGTAGCGTCACTTGAGCTTTGTTGCTGGAGCAGCTTCCAGCCTTTGCTCGCGACCGGAGAGGCTCTGAGCACGGGGACCATACCGGCCCCCGAGGATCAAATTCAGGAAAGAAATTCAGCACATCAGAATGATCCTAGAAACCATTCGCTCATTACACCATTCCACGCTTTTATTATGCATAATTGAAAGGGGGTTTTCTTCGATACCCTGTCTTTGTTTCTTTGAAAGGGACTTCCTATGTCTCAGTATATAGTATAGTCGGCCATATTGAGGATACGTTGACGATACTCACCCCCAGCCAATCTTATCGGTAGATAAGAAGCACCCCGAAACTTTGGTTCCAGTCAAACTAGTCAAGGGTCACAACTGTTCACATAGTCTTCACCAGTATGGCTGCTGATCTACATGGTAGGATGCATTGATATGCTGTAACACACTGCATTCTTCAGTTTTCACATCATTGACTTTACCAGATGCCTAACCAACAAGGTTATCATAGCCGATCATGATGTGAGAAACAAGTAGAAGCCCCAAGATTCTCAGATTCCAGAACTCTTGAGATGGCCACTTTAAGGAAATTGAAATATGAACTTGGCTACTAGCAGTAATTACTACTGCTTGTAAATGTCAGTTACTCACCATAGTAGTAATCTTGGTACAAGAAGAATGAAATTGCTTTCAAGTAATATGACCAGTGCGGAGACAGCCAAGAACATGACCCGCAAATTAATCTTGTGAAGAATGCAAACCAATATCATATAGTAGCGAAGCATTCCCGGACAGGATCACATGTGATATACTGGCGACTGAATTGAACTTCCATCCTGAGTGATATAAGTCGATTGATGATGATCTTACGAGAGCCGTTTTCCATTAGCACCGTGCTTACCAGTGTGACTAGATCTAGGAATAGAAGGTTCGTATAGATATGGGGTCGCATATACGGAGTAGCAGGGCACGATGACATGAAGCCCACAACGGTCTGACACAACACACTCCTTCTACTCCAATAATACAAAGCAAAGAGTTCGAGCTATACCAGCAGGCTTTCATGAGTGTAGCAGCAAGTCCAAGTCCTATATAATAAAATACCTGATAACACTGGTATCATTTCAGATTGTTCCAAGATGGTGCGGAATTCGTCCGCGAGAATAGTTGCCAGTGTATGCAGAGCATTTGGTGCACTAACCAGTACACAAAGTGCGGAACGGGTGCAACTTCCCCAGGAGCGGAAAACAGGCAGAAGATGTGCCGCAGTCACGAGCAGCATTATCCATGGTCAGCCACCACCTGCCTTTAGAGTCGACACGCACGGGGGCGGATTGAGCAGATGGGGTCTTCCAGTGCATCCTTGCAGACAGCTGACAGAATTGGCTGTCGGTGTGCGTATTTTGAAGTCGGTATACGAAGCATAAATAATCGGATATGCATGGACTATGCGAGTATTACTAGTAGGTAACCATCTTAGGTTCTTGTACCTGAATCCAGTTTTCTTCCCTTATTGGCAATTGGAACAGGAAACTATGATTCGCAGTTCATTTGACTGGAACTCCAGATTTTCGGACACTTCGGACTTGCCACCTCCACGGGGTTGCGGGAGAACGGCACAGAGAGATGCCTTCATATGCCAGTCTATCACAAGAATTACTGAAAGTGGCACAAGGACCTGGAAAGGCGGAACTCGGTTAGCAGAGGAACTCGGCAGCGGGTTACGGAAGATCACCCCAGATGAAACAGAGGAACAACTGGTCATTACCGGCTGCGCCTTCATGGCTCAAGGGCCTCCGCCGCCACTTTTCATCGTCTCTCAGCCAAGCCAGGGCCGAAATCCCCTTCCGAACCAGACGCCATCTCGGTCAGCGGTCGGCCAATGGGAATTCCCCACTATGAGGGAAGGCAATGGTAGTACTTAGTATAATAGATAAATAAAAGGAGAGAGATAGACCGTCAGGATGCACTGACCATTACTTTGACTTCAATTTTAGAGTTGTACTACACATCCTCCCTACGTTTCTTTTTTTGCTTTTTTTTCCTCGGAAGGTTTGATTCACAGATCGTTGTCTTTGGAAAACCTCCGGCAACCGCTCTCTTAACTAGCGATACTTCCCATATCAGTGGCAGTGTCTAGTAGTAGTCCCAACACTACTATTGCCAACAGACTCACAGTACTACTGTGTAGTAATACCAGATAGTGTGTTTCGACCCTGATACGAGAGATCTGATAACTCCTCAACAAATCGGAGTAGCAGAAGGACAACAAGTTGTTGGAGTACTACTGGTCCGTGTGAGAGACCCGGACAGGATCAGCATCTCCGAAACCGAGCCTCCGAGGCGAAAAGGCCACCATCGCCTCAGGCTGCCACCACCTCTGCTCTTTCTCTGTCTCTCTCCCTTCTCCCTCTCGTGTCCGTCGATCGTCTTAGACACTTCCGCTTCCCGGCTCACGCCCCAAATTATGCGGTCTGCTTAGCAGTGGGTTCGGCGCCTCTGTTCTTCCTGGATCACACCACGGCTTACTTTCTTATCCTCTTCCTTCTCCTCTTTTTCCTTCTTCTTCTGTTTTCCACCCTTTCTTTCTTTTTCTTATCCCCCCCCATAGCGTCATTCTTTCTTCCAGTTTTATCCTTTGGCTTCGGGGACGCCGCCACCTTATCTCGGTTCCTGCCTCGGCTCCGGTGATCGCACCTGGGACAGGCTAAGCGTAAGGAGGGTGTGTGACATTCTTCTTTCACCTCCTCTCCTTTTCCCGCCTCTCCACTTCATTCAATCCCCGCTCCACCCTTTAAGTCTAGCCAATACAATCAAATCGGGGCCTTTCGCTTCGCGCCGCTGAACAGCCTCACCATGGCGCAACTCGATACCCTCGATCTGGTGGTCCTGGCGGTGCTTTTGGTCGGTAGCGTGGCCTACTTTACCAAAGGCACCTACTGGGCAGTTGCCAAAGACCCTTATGCCTCCACCGGCCCCGCGATGAACGGCGCGGCCAAGGCTGGCAAGACTCGGAACATCATTGAGAAAATGGAAGAAACAGGCAAGAACTGTGTTATTTTCTACGGATCGCAAACCGGAACCGCCGAGGATTACGCCTCCAGACTGGCCAAGGAAGGATCTCAGCGATTCGGCCTCAAGACCATGGTCGCTGACCTCGAGGAATACGACTATGAGAACTTGGACCAATTCCCGGAGGACAAGGTTGCGGTTTTCGTGCTCGCCACCTACGGAGAGGGCGAGCCTACAGATAACGCTGTCGAGTTTTACCAGTTCTTCACCGGCGACGACGTTGCTTTTGAGAGCGGCGCTTCTGCGGACGAGAAGCCTCTCTCCAAGCTGAAGTACGTTACTTTCGGTCTGGGTAACAACACTTATGAACACTACAACGCCATGGTTCGTCAGGTCGATGCTGCTTTCCAGAAGCTCGGCGCTCAGCGTATTGGTTCTGCTGGTGAGGGTGATGACGGTGCCGGTACAATGGAAGAGGATTTCTTGGCCTGGAAGGAGCCTATGTGGGCCGCACTGTCTGAGTCAATGGATCTGCAGGAGCGCGAAGCTGTTTATGAACCCGTGTTCTGCGTCACTGAAAACGAGTCCCTGAGCCCCGAAGATGAGACGGTCTACCTTGGAGAGCCCACCCAGAGCCACCTTCAGGGTACTCCCAAAGGCCCGTACTCTGCGCACAACCCCTTCATCGCCCCTATCGCCGAATCTCGTGAGCTTTTCACCGTCAAGGATCGCAACTGTCTGCACATGGAAATCAGCATCGCCGGAAGTAACTTGTCCTACCAGACTGGTGACCACATCGCTGTTTGGCCCACCAACGCTGGTGCCGAAGTGGATCGGTTCCTCCAGGTTTTCGGTCTCGAGGGTAAGCGTGATTCGGTTATCAACATCAAGGGTATCGATGTTACGGCCAAGGTCCCGATCCCGACCCCCACCACGTACGATGCTGCTGTTCGGTACTATATGGAAGTCTGCGCCCCTGTATCCCGTCAGTTTGTAGCCACTCTGGCCGCGTTCGCTCCGGATGAGGAAAGCAAGGCAGAAATCGTGCGTCTGGGTAGCGACAAGGACTATTTCCACGAGAAGGTCACCAACCAATGCTTCAACATCGCCCAGGCTCTCCAGAGCGTCACGTCCAAGCCTTTCTCTGCTGTTCCGTTCTCCCTGCTTATTGAAGGCATTACGAAGCTGCAACCTCGCTACTACTCGATCTCTTCGTCTTCCCTTGTCCAGAAGGATAAGATCAGCATCACGGCCGTTGTGGAATCAGTTCGTCTGCCCGGTGCCTCTCACATTGTGAAGGGTGTGACTACGAACTACCTGCTCGCGCTCAAGCAGAAGCAGAACGGCGATCCTTCTCCCGACCCTCACGGCCTGACTTACTCCATCACTGGTCCCCGGAACAAGTACGACGGTATCCACGTTCCCGTGCATGTTCGCCACTCGAACTTCAAGCTGCCCTCTGACCCCTCTCGGCCCATCATCATGGTTGGACCTGGTACTGGTGTTGCTCCTTTCCGTGGGTTCATCCAGGAACGCGCTGCTTTGGCTGCCAAGGGCGAGAAGGTTGGACCCACTGTTCTCTTCTTCGGTTGCCGCAAGAGCGACGAGGATTTCTTGTACAAGGATGAATGGAAGGTAAATTATTCGCCATCACAGTTGAAACTTGTTATCGGATGCTAACATATCGCGCACTCGCAGACCTACCAGGACCAGCTTGGAGACAACCTGAAGATCATCACCGCGTTCTCGCGTGAGGGTCCTCAGAAGGTCTACGTTCAGCACAGACTTCGCGAACACTCCGAGCTTGTCAGCGACCTTCTGAAGCAGAAAGCTACCTTCTACGTCTGTGGTGACGCCGCCAACATGGCTCGCGAGGTTAACCTCGTGCTTGGCCAGATCATTGCTGCGCAGCGTGGTCTGCCCGCCGAGAAGGGCGAAGAGATGGTCAAGCACATGCGTAGCAGTGGCAGCTACCAGGAAGACGTGTGGTCATAATCCCTCAATGCATCGAAGTTTCTTTCTTGTCTATCACGACGGCCTTTTCGATCCATTATTTTATTTCACGCCTAGATGATCTTTGCATATATACTCCGGTGATCTTGCCTATTCATCTGTTTTGCTTGGCGTGGTTCATGTATGCCTATTTTATTGTTTTGTGCACCGACCGGCCAGCCAGTGGCTGAAAACGATTGCGGTAGCCAGCGTTGAAAGAACAGGATAGACGATCATGATTATTGCGAGAACTGGGCATCTTGATATCCGGATGCACGGGCTCAGAGGATACGAAAAAGATGAATTCATAATAATTGCACGATAACATCGCCTTTTTTTTTTTTATCTACTTAGTCAACTATTTAAGACATGAAAGATTAATAAAAATGAGCTGGCGCCTGCTGCTCTGAACACCCGACAGCGTGGAAGAGGAGTGAGTATATATTAAACGAATAGTAGACGTATAAATACACATTGCATTCCCATCTTAAAGAAAAGAAAAAGCAAAAGTTGAGAAAAAGAACAGACAAGAAATAGTATGTAAAGCCCACTCCACCTCGGCAATACCGGAGTTAAGTCCAACCAGAACCGGCGCGCAACCAAACCCATCGTCATTCCCGGTATCAGTCAGTTAGACCTGGCTGGCTGGGCTGGGCTAGCTAGCCCGAACCAAAGCTCCGCAATCATCCATCCTCATCCCTCCCATTCCAATCCAATCCATCCTCTCTCTTCAAATACAACCCTCTCTTCTCTTCTCCTCAGAGCGAGGGAGAAAAATAAAATGAGATGCAGCAAATATTCACAATAAATAATTAAATAAATAGGAGCCTGGAGAAATAAATACATCTCGCTTTCTTTTACCGCTACGCACGCACGTTCGTTCGTTCGTTCCCCGCAGTGGGCGAAAAGCTGGATTGGGACCACGACGACGCGACGCTACGCAAAACTTCGGTACCATATGATATACTTATACTGCATTTATAGGGATTGATAAATATTCTGCGGAGATGGCTTATGTGGTGCCGATTCATCGGGCGAGTAGCATTCGGAATGCGCTCAAGTTGCATTTCTTGAACGCGGAGGAGGAGACTTTGGTTGTTGCGTTGGTGGTCCCCTTCTCCTTTCCTTCCCTTTGCTTTGCTTGTTCGCAATGCTTGATGATCTTTTATGTATGAGTGAGGGTATGTGTTTGCTGATTGGTGTTGTGTGTTCGGGTTATAGAAAGGCGAACCGCCTCGAAATATACTCCCTTACGCCCGAAGGGCTGAACCTGGCAGCGTCATGTTCTCTCTTCGCAAAGGTTACTATGCTAGCTCGGCTTCCCGCGCCTGCGAACTCGCCTACGGATCATTTGTTTGTCGGGACGGATCGATACACTTATTGCACGTTATCGTGGGATGGGGAGAGGAACCAGATCCGGACGGAGAGGAACTATGTTAATATATCTGATCCTTCGTCCCGGGAGGCGCAGACGGGGAATCGGTGCTTGATTGATCCTAGTGGACGGTTTATGACGCTCGAGGTGTATGAGGGTGTGATCGCTGTTGTGCCGATTGTGCAGTTGCCCAGTAAGAAGAGGGGGAGGCAGGTTGCTCCGCCTTCGGGACCGGATGCGCCTCGGGTTGGGGAGTTGGGCGAGCCGACGACGGCGCGAATTGATGAGCTGTTTGTGCGCTCGTCTGCCTTCTTGCATGTTCAGTCGGGGCCGCCTAGGTTGGCGTTGCTGTATGAGGATAACCAGAAGAAAGTGAGGCTCAAGGTTCGCGCGTTGCATTATAGTGCGGCGACGTCGAGTACGGGGGCCGATGCCGCGTTTGAGGAGTCTCTGGATGGGTTTTCGCAGGAATTGGACCTCGGAGCGTCGCACCTGATACCGGTACCGGCGCCTTTAGGTTTGTGATTCTCTTGTTGTGGTTTGTTGTTGCTTTTGGAATGATGCTGATATGTTTCTGATATGCAGGTGGCTTGCTTGTTCTGGGAGAGACGTCCATTAAGTATGTCGATACGGACAGTAA